ACGCAGCAATGCATATGGTTTACGAGTGATTATGTTACTATTGGCCAGCTAGTAGTCATTCTTCGAACAACGGTTATTCGTTGTAAAGATTTTCATTCACCCTAGAAAAGCACAAATGTTCCCGTTGTAATCCGTAATTTAGTTGCTATGTTATATGTGTATTTCAAGCAGTGTTGCTATGTGAATGATGATTCTTAAGATTCGAAAATCATGCGAGGTAATGGTTTAGAAGAGATTCCATTTCGATGTGTTATCTGCCAGGCGAAATAGAGAATTATGCTTTCTGTTTGCAAATGTACTCGATCAATACAAGTTGGCTGTTTTCATCCCGGAGCCGAATTTGAGAAAAATTATCCATTTTACAGGACTATTTCTCAGTAGTTCTTAAAAACAGCGCTGCAACGTACTTCACAGAGAATTTCTATAGAGCGCAGCTGCCAAAGCAACGATTCCAAGATATATGCTGGTGAGCAAATAAAGAATGTTTCGTTAGACCTCCTTGATTCATTTCATCGCTACAATTTTGCATTCGAACGAATTTTCGTACTAAAAGCATACGGTTTTTTAAAAATAGATATCTGCTTATCTATCCAGTTCTGACGTCCGCTTAACACTGGAAACTATAATAGTATATTACGAGGATTGGGGAATTCCCAGGACTCCGTCTCCGTTTCCTCGACTTTTTTCGAGTTGACTGCATTTTCGAGGTGTCCGACTGCAAAATTTCGTCCCAGGCTTCTTTCCGTCCCGGCAGCATACCACTGGAAAGAACTATAATACAGAAGTGTGGTTGAAGCACTTTCCCTCATCGAATTTCTCCACTCATTTTCGATGCCGTTCGATGTATCTGCGACTGCGACTGATTCGAAAATTATTTAGTAGCATTGTAAAAAAATTATTTGCGTATTATGCATGCATACCGACAAAATGGCACAGGCAAAGTAGCCATATGTTTACTGTGATTGTGTCAGCAGGGACTTCCAAGATCACATAACTGAAATTCTACGCTCAATCCGGGAATGTATTCATTGCAAGATGCAACGTCCCAGTATTTCTCAGTATCACCATTTACTCGATGAGTCACTGCGAAATTGAAACGAATCACGTAGCATTTAGATACCATAACCCTAAGGCGAGTCTTTTCTCAAGTGAGAGCAATGCCACATGAAAAATGCTCCAAATACTTTTCGAGTTTTCATTTTTAGTGCGTTCCATATTGTGCGCTGAAAATGAAAATCGTATTTTCGTGCCATCGAAGTGATTTGAGAACAGTATGGCGATGAATTTGAGCAGAGAGAAAGTTTAATAATCTCATTTTCTCTGCTCTGCTTTCTCGTTCGTCTATTTTGATTTCTCAGTTACCTGCTCATTTCCCGGCAATGCCTGCCAATTTCATAAACAACAGTTGCTGGTCTCAAACACATACAGCCTACTATTGAAGAGAGAGATCACTCTGTTAGCAGTTTACGGTATGTATGAATAAATGAATAATGTAAGTTTACGAATCGATGCAGTTAAAAGTAACGTATAAATGAATATTCGAATGCATCATCATCCGCCTCCTCCTCCACATTCATTCATTCCACAAATCGATTCATCCTTCTTATTCAAGCGCACTGACTGCTGCTGCTGCTGCTGCACATCTACTCGCTACTAACCTCTTCGTTACTTCGCTTTCCCTCTCTATCCCTCTTCCTGTTTCACTTTCTATACGTCCAATTCCTCTTTCTCACTCTATTTTTCCAAATTCCCTTTCTTCGTTTTCTTCTTTCGCCTCCCTTCCACATGGTTGCGATTTGTACATTTGATCCAGTTGTGCAGTGTGTATCAACTGATTGAACTTTTTTTGATGGATCTGAATTTGTCGAAATTGGTTTTCGAAGTGGTCATGAAAGTTGTTCGCGTACAAAAATTTATTTGCACTCTTATTAGCATTTTGTGCATTCCCCTTGTTTCGTTTGCGATAATAAAATTCATCTGTTCTTTATGTGGAGTAATCGAATCCTTATGCGATAATAATCCGCTCATAAGTTGAACTGTAACCATCAATTTGTTGAAGTCAGTGTGAGAAAGTGTGACTGAGAAAAAATTTTGTGAGAAGTCTGGATCGGTGAGAGTATTTTTAATAGTGAAACTGTTAGGTGACAATGATTGGAATGTGTAGAGATTTTATGGTCATGACTTGACAGATTGAGAAAATAGCGGAGATTAAAACGGTTGGTGCGTACTGCTTGGAAGAACGATGAAACTTGCCCTGTCATGTACTTTGGATCTAACGCAAGTCACACATCTTTGTTCATCGTGTTTTCAGCGCAAGTGATCGTCAGCACTGATCTAGAATAATGAAGATTTCGCAGTCAGTGATTTACGATATGAACTTTCTGTAAAGCTTCAGTTTGCCCTCATCATATCTTTGTCAAATGAAGCAGCTTTCAAAAAAATCAAGAGCGCGAGCTTAACTAAGACACGTTTGATTTTAACTGTGCAAATTAGTCAGTAAAACGATGATGAATGAAAAGGTGTACGTGATCTAACGGTCTAATATCAAACTCAAAAATTTCCCCGAATTAGATGCATCAGTCGGTAAGCGTCGTAATTAACATGTACAAGATAGGATGAGGACAAACTCATGTTCATGCAACTTATTCATGAACATTGCAAATCGCATGTTTATGAACTTGCGATTTGCAATATTATTCTAGTTATTGTTGTTTTAATGATATTTCGTTAGCACAGATGAGTCTCTTGGGATGTGTGCACAGTTCAAAGTCTTCTCTCCCCATCACTAACAAATTTTCTGAACTGATAGTGAAGTTTTAGATAATACATATGCTGATCCAAACGACTGAAAGATAAGGCCGGAAATGACGATGATCAATAAAAAGGTGTACGTGATCTTTTTGCGTCGAAGGCCTCGACACTCCCGAATAGTTCTACCATTCAGCCCTACCAATGATGTTTTTGTTATTCGAGACTAGCCACTGCATTCAAGCAGTGATCTTTTCGTGTTTACTTTTTATATCAGTAATCACCATGACTAGCGATTTAGTGATGCTACAGTTGTTGTTAGTAATAAATACGATTCTGCAATGCTTGAATAATAGTAAAATGCTGCTTTGACAAAGCGTCTGAAAAGGACATACTAATTTAATGGCAAAAAGGAAACTTTCCTGCTGAAGTAGAAGGAATGAGAAACGTAATGCACAAACTACAATCTGATTATGCTTGCAGCCTTTCCGAAGCTTTTCAAAAAGCAATATTTATCCGAAAAAGCTGTCAGTGATTATGATGTTCTGGTCGCAGGTGTCTGTCTATTTTATTGTATAAGCGGTACATATATGCATGTACATATAAACAAATATATCATGCGAATGTTCATATAAATAAATGAATAGAAAATATTTATGTTCGTCTATGCTCGCATACGTATATGCATACAAGTATATATTTGTATGTTTCGTCGTAATCGAAAATTAGATGATGTGTTCAGCAGCACATTGAACGCACTTCATGAATTGTATTTCCAACATGTTCTAACTATCAACGTTTGTCCTGCTCTAACTTTCATTTCTCGCAGTGTTACTGCGTACACAGTGCTGTCTCTGATTATGTCCAAATTTCGGTAAAAACTTGCTTCTGTTTATGACCATTTTCGATGAAACTTATGCTATTTTTCGTCATCCTGTCACTTATGAAAGGATTCATGACAAGATTTGGATTATTTCCTGACACTTTTCGGCATAGCGAACAGCCATCACCTTGTATTTCAATCAGTTTTGACGTCGAATTCTGTGAATTTTCTTATTTTCTTTACTTAAACTGGTGCTTTTTACTGTAGTGTGAAAAAACTGTTCATGAAATGTTATGTGTAACCTATAGAAAGACAGTGGAGGGATGGTTTCGTTTCTTAAAGAATTCGGGGCTGGACGTAGCGACTAGTTTCCACCAGAAGGATCCTTATTGCAAGAACGAACTGTTGAAACATAACCAGGCTCTAGTGGTGGATTCTCAAAAGTACTGAAGGCTGACTGTGAAGCAGCTCCTCGAAGTATCGTTCCATAAATTACCAAACTTTGAATCCGGTTAAGCATCTTATTCTCACTTTCAAGCATCTACAAGCTATACGAACAGCCTGTTGATGAATGTATTGATATTCTTCACTTTAAAAAAATTATACTAAGAAGAAGTGGCTGGAATTGATTCATTTTCCACTGATTGCAGCAGAGAAATGTGATTACGACCAAACCAGTGGAACGAATTATGTTCGTGAACTGAGCTTCCATTTTGTTATCATTTCTGGAAGCTGTGTTTTCAACCATTTGTAAACATCCGTCTAAAACCCATTGTTCCAGCCTTTGCTCACTGATGAAGCGGGCAACACAAGAAGCAGCACTACATCTAAAATCACTTCGGTGTTTGTTCTTTTCGTGATTCCTTATATTCATTTTCATGTTAATATGTTATTCTTTTATTTGATCTATCATCATCAACTCATTTCCCATTGACGTAATCACTGATCAAATGGAATATGGTTACAATGGCGACCGGGTGGTCGATAAAGAATGTTGCCGAAGGCTTTATTGCCAGTAAAATGACTCGATTGTAGACTGTATAAATGCATCACGTATTGAATTCAGCGCTAACATCGTTTCACATTTTGTACGTAAACGATTTCAATCAAGGGAAACTCATTTGAGGTTAACTCATTTTGCAACGAGCAATGACGTTCACAGGTGTATGATGCAAGTGAACTGGCTTGAAAAACACATTCGAAATTCGTCGTTTCCACATGAATTTGCGATTGTTTGTCACTTTGTACTTGATGTGCTTTTGCAAATGCATTGTTCAAGATTGATTGGCTGAAAGTTGCATTTGATTCATTATTTCATTTGCGTTATCCCGTTTTCTCGTTTCTTTTGACCGTTCAATCTACCACGTGCTTTGTATTAAGCTTCAGCTGTCATCTTATTATAAGATTTATGAATGCTTTCAGCTGTAATAGACGTCATATTGGTCGAACGCTTGAACGATGGCACACCGGGAAAGAAAAATTGATGTTTCACGAAGCAACTATTCGGTTATCGATAACGAATTTGGTAATATGCGTGATCGATTCGAAATGGAAATGAAACGCGTGGAAGAGGAGATGCAACGCTTGCGAAGAGAATTCGAAGGTTGCGTTGAGCATCGATTATTTCAGTTGATTTTTATTATCAGTTGGAATGTACGACTGGAAATGCTAGCAACTATCTTTATTCACTGAAGTATATACGTGATGCTAGGTTGTTTCAGTGAAACATCCGATAATATCAGAAATATCCAACTATTTATTGCTAGTTAATTTTCTTACTGATTTCAGGATACACTCCTCGTTCGCAAGGAACCGTTCCTGAAAATCGAACTTCCAGTTTCAGCTCACACCGTGAAGAGTCCAGGCGGTATGAGAGTGGCTCGTCGGCGCAGGTATTTCTTCCCACGTTTTTGGCCAGTATATACAGTCATTTTTCATGGAAAATGATCCACAGGCGTTGAAGATCAACATTTTCGAAGCTACACCTTTTCATCATGCATAGTCATCGCTTATCAACCTCATATGTGCATTCAATAATAGAGTTTGTGACTGTTCCATCGCAATAACCCTAGTGCTCCACCCACAATTCATGAAATCTGTTGTGTTTGTTCAGTTCGCACCTCTCCTGTCACTGTCAGTTAGTTGTTGATAGAAAACAAGCTAATTAAGGCACCAACTTCGGGTGCGCCGCCAACAGCAGCCAGTAAGGACACGATGGTTGTTAGACCTACATATGATCCATATTTCGAAAATCTGAAGTCACCGCTGATCAAAGATGAAAGTGACGGTAAAACTCTTAAACTCAGGTAGGAATCTTTTCACTCTGTTCTCGTCGCATTGAATTTGCTTACTTTGCGATCTAAGCCTCTGTGTAATTTCTCTTTATTTACCACTGTATAATCCATTTTTTGGTTTCTTCCAAAGGAAACAATTGTTGAACCAAACGTTGTCGGCCAGCAAGCTTCATATACCGTTTGTGTTTACTTGTTTGACTTTTTATCGGTCTTTCTATTACTTACGCCAGCAGTCTAACTAATCGTCAGAGGTGAAATGCATTGAGTGTTTAATGTGAAAGCACACTTGTTTGTTTAAGATTTGATGTTGCGCAATATAAGCCTGAAGAAGTTACGGTGAAGACTGTTGACAACAGGTTGTTGGTGCATGCAAAACATGAAGAAAAAACGCCACAGCGAACCGTTTTCCGCGAATATAATCAGGTACGCGAATACAAAGACTACTGATTGACAATGTCATCAGTTTTTGATATAAACACCTTGTGAAGTTGTGAGACATAATCATTCATGTTTTCAGAGAGTCATTTGGCTATACCTAAAAATTGTAAAAAATTGAGCTCTAAAAATTCAGTTATTTTCAGTCAGCTTAAAATTTCTGTCAACTAAATGTGGTATTGAAAACTCGCTAAGTTGTAACCTATTGACTGATTCCTTACTTTTTTCTGTCGAATGTGATCCAGTCTTTGACTGGAAAATAAAATCTGATCGAAGGATGATCCTCAAGCGGCGAATCATTTCAAAAAATGGCTCAACAATACTGATTGGACATAAAAAATTCAAACAATGAAGAGAATAATAAGATAAATACGTAGGAAGGTGGAATGAAGAAATTTTAGACAGTTATCCAGTTTTTTTAATATGCTGGTGCTTTAAATTCGATTGCAAATTGCTTGCTGCATGGTCTGTAATTCAGGGGTCTAATGAGTGTTGTATTGTGAACGATCCAAAGCGTTTTGTATCTGGACCGTGGTGCATAAGTTCAGAGAAGAAAAAAGACCTACTGAATTTGTAACTTGAGTGCAATGATGGATGGAAGTGTCCACTTTTAACGAGTGTATTCATAACAATCAATGATTTCTTTAGTATTTTTGGAATGCTTTTATCTTATTATTTCACTGGTAACTTTGATTTCGAAAAATTCAGATCAGAAGAATCCAAAAACACCACACCACTTAAAAAGAATGCCAGAGTAGGCGGATAAATAATTCACAGGGCATAATTGTGTTGCGATCACCTGATTATTCAACCATTAATTATGGTTGATCATCGGAAGTATTCGAATAGGGACTTAACCTCTCGCAAGTGATTTTGCTACTAAATTTCAGGAGTTCATGCTTCCAAGAGGAACAAATCCTGAATTGATCAGTAGTACGCTGAGCACGGACGGTGTTCTTACTGTGGAAGCTCCATTGCCGCAATTAGCTATTCAGCACTAATCCGGCGATGCGGTCCTGCTATACTGCTGCACGCTTTTATGCGCTTCCCGTATAATCGTTGAGTCACGCTGATGTGAAATTCGTTATCTGATTACTCTTTAGAATATTTATGTCGAAAACGATGGTTCCTTCTCCAAATAAATCTACTTATTCAGCTACCTATTATCGTAATTATTTGGCATGATTTTTTGACTATTCTTTCTATTTTTCTGTTTCTATTGTCGAATTTTTTATTTGGTTTCTTTGTAAACAGATATTATTGTATGTTATCGTATTTGTTCAATATAATATTTCTCATGTTTTTAAATCTTACATATTCATTTGCTACACACAGGAATAAACAGTCAGTGTATATCAGTCGATTGGCATAAAATCAGCTCGCCTTCTAGGAAGATATCTCCTCACGAAGGAAATCGTCTGCTTTCGAAAAACCCTTTCTAGGCATTGACATTTGAATGGATATGCCTCAATATCAGCCGTTTCATCAAATTGTCATTCATCATCAGAATGAATCAGTTATCTTCAAGGGTGATGTTCTAACGCAAACTGATGTCACCTAATCATATTTGCATCAACCCATCCGTGAGTAAATACTCGACTAGATCGAATGAGATTAGTTGAGAACTTATCGATTTGACTATAATTTAAGTTACCGCGTCACCTTACGTTCATAAACTGCTGGGGCAGTTTCACCTTAAAGACTATCCAAGAATCGAATTCTTCACTGATTAGCGTTTGGGATGGGAATAAAATTTTGGTGTTTTGAACTTTGTTTCGTCACGTATAATTTGAAGATAAATTTTAAGTTTAGTAATCGTTTGCGAGATTTATCATGATGGATCTCAGACCAGTTGAGCTTGATAATGAGGTAAGGGGACGCGGGAAAATTGCGCGGAAGCTTTGACATTCTTTCCTCCCCCGAATGTTAGCTGACTCCTTGAACTTTGCTCAGTTCCTGAAATATTTGAGTGATGTATAGGACTGAAACGGTGCAGTTAGACTCTTTCTCATCCACGTTTGAGGTCGGTCTCTCGAAATCCCAGAATGTACTTACATACTCATAAGTAGCTGATCTCCATGCCACATGAGAGATACAGCTAGTGACGTATCGTTTTTTTAAGTGGTTCTTCTTCAGGAGGTTTGTAGTACTACAGCAGGATATATTAATTATTAGAAGATACTTAATCATTCAGTCCTTGAACGGTACGAAATTACTAGCAGTGGAGCTCGCTGGATTTGAGCTTCACATGCAATATTTTTGGTTGAAATTTAACCATGATTTGCTTCCATAATAAATAGGCTTTATTTTTGCATTTCGCAACAAAAATCCACTTCAAAAATCGAACAACACGAAGGATTAACGGTATTAGCAGCAACTAACGTTTGAATGTTATATTGAAAAGTTACAACGGTTTGGGATGCGATTCGGCTGTTGCGAAATTTTACAGTGAGGTTTCTTGTAATGAAATAAACCATTTTTTTGGGTGATGCATTAGACAGCGAAGTAAAACGCAAAAAATCGAGCAACAAGGATGAGCGTTCATTTTACTGCCATTCTGAGAAGTACGAGCACTTTGCGTAAAGTGCGAAATTTTTGACCGAAATTTTGTACGTTTGGATTGTTGACCAACCTGAACCCAAATCCACCGATGCTCCAGAAACACATCATGCTCGTGTCTTTTGCATAACCCTACTGTACATCCAATATCAGTCGGCGTCATAGATTTTTTTCGAATTTTGTTTTTTTTTTTCAATTTTTCTATCCGCAAACGTCTCCGACGAATTTTGTCATTGGTAAGCTTTTCATTTGTCCCATTCCCGAATCAAATACTGACACATTATTCAACTAATCGAACACCCAACTCGTCAATTCATCAAACATTGAATTCGTAAGCGCATGTTAATTGTAAAAAAATAAAGTGAAGGCTGAAGCATCACAAAGAATTCCGTGTATACTTGCGTTGAGTGATTGCACTTAAACATATCTATCGTGCATACTTTTTTTTTTGAAAACGTGTGTCATATAAGTAGACGATCCCCAGGAAGAAATTCGCTAGAACAACTGCATGATATCAACGAAAAGGAATGATCAGTGGCACGTCTTCGTACACTGCAAACCTTGACGATTTCAGATAAACTTTTCGAATTTGACATGTGATGATCACTCATGGAAGTTAATCAGGGGTAGAAGGTCATGTACTCGACTGGATATATCACTGCATGTCATACGGTTGTAACAAAGTCGCAACGCAAGTGGTCAATGAATTAAACTTCTGGCATTGACGCTCTGTTTCAAATTCCTATGATGGGAATGATCTTTTTTATTTACGATTAGGGTGTGGCTCTATAACCTCAATTGTTCTTCGCTTATCGCAATAACACTGAACGTTATTGGTATGCATGCTGCAATTAGAGAAAAGTTTTCTCACGGTACAGCATTCAAATAGAGTGCTTTGCACGGTTTCGTGCTACTTGAAGTTTTGAACCTTTTGCTGAATGTTAATGCAATGAAAAATTCCATGAGAACAGTTCGATTTTGAAGATCCCAATCAACTTCTGCAAGTTGAACAGTGTATATCATGCAGTGCTCAGATGTATGGATTGCGAATGAATATTAAATTATACTCATTGTAAGGATACATAGTGCAACGCAATAACGCTGTATACATTCACCTTATATACACACACACACACATAATGATATGATGAACAACACAACATATCAAGTAGGAAAACATTGATATGGTGCTATAATACCTTATCTTATACATGAGAATCAAACATCTTCACCCTATGACTACTGATAGAACCCTCTTTCGTAGACTCATTACCATGTTCACAAAAGAGCATTTCTGGTATAAATGAACATTGTGAAGCTGATTAAAATATTGCTTGGGTGTTCCCCAAGTAATTTAGCCGCATATAGATCGTGCACAAAAACGACTCCGCACAAGGATTAGCATAACAAGTGATGACAGTTGAAGATTCTACAGATCTTCAGAATTCTGCTATGTAGTTAAGTGTTGCATGATATCTATCGTATCCGTAAGGATGCATGCAAAGAAGATTAATGAGGTCGTTTCTCCTTGATCGATACATTACAATACGAGAGTTTCTCGTAGAGCAATCTCAATTAGAACCATTTAGCGAATATCAGTGAAAATGATTATCAATTTCAAATATTTCTTTATTGGCGTTATTTATTGAAATATTTGACAGCAATTACTGAACATCTCAGAGTAATTTTTCACATCCATCACTACGGTGATAGTGAAAATTAATAACGGAGGGTACACCTTCGAAGATAATCACAACTGTACCGAAATCACAAAAAAAAACAGACTGATCTCGTTATTTCGGCTGTGGTTTGCTCAGATATCGCCTACTGACTCAATACATCTCCCAGATGAAATGATATAATCACTGTAGATATATTGATATGAATTTATTCCTAGAAATGACATTAATGAAGATATTATGTAGAATCACAGTGGCAATTGTGAGAATCATCATTGGCGTTACTACAATGCATTATAAAAACAATGCAACACAATTTTTCCGCGTAAATGTTGGAATGCTCCACAAGATTTTATATTTGGACGATATATTGAATGAATAAGTAATCGAATTGTCGACTTTTGAAGACGTGAATGAAAATAGCACCAAAAATGCTATTAAGAAATAGCAATGATGAAATAGGTGATAGAAATTTTCTGAAACTATTCAGCTTTATCTTTACTTGACAATTTGTTCTTCTTTCAAAATATTCCCTGTTTTGATTGTTGTATCAAACCTTTTCGTTAATTAAACATTCAATTCACGAACGATAAAAGTAATGTGGTTGAATGCAAAGCATTTAAATATCGTTACATATTCCGTTCCATATGAGTCTTCATCTGCAATTTTAGCATTGCGCAAGAGAATCCGATGGTCAGAGTTGAGCAGGACTTATCCACGAAGACGATTAACGTTAAGTTTCGAATCTTCGTCTGTACTTTGCGAAGGGTTGGGTCCTGCATTCAAGTGCATTTATTTCGCAGTACTAGAAGTAACTCTTTTTAGGTGACTGCTTGACTTGACACTTTATACGTCCCACATTGATTTCATTTTAACAAGAAATTTCTAGTTGTTCGCCGTGATTGCTGAAGACCACCATGAACGTTCACCGTTTCATCTCATTCAGTCTCGCTACGACCGTCCTTCCTTACTGCCTATTTACGTGTACGACAAAACAGTACCATAAACATTTGATAAGCAGAGAATCGGGCGAAAAGGAACGATGGTTATCGAAAAATCCTTACAGTTAATCATTTTCTGTTTATATGAAGGACTTAAAAGATTGATCATGGATGCTAGTGTTTTGTCGGAGAGAAAAAAATACATCAAGGATCATACCATTTTTGAATTTTTTTGAACCATCACTGAGCCTTTCTTTCAGATTAATCTATCTGTAGACAAATAATCTAGATCTCACAAGATGAGAAACTGGTACTCATCCTCTCACTGACAGTACAATGCACATCAGCGGGTCTGGACTCCGGAGATATCAGATGAGCCATACAACACTGAAAATGTCATGGCACTGATCGTGAATATGTCTTCGTTATCTTCTAAACGCTATTTGGAGCCAATCTGATTATCTAGTCATTATATTAAAAGTGTTTAGCGCGATGAAGAGAGCTTTTGACCAATGAAAATGAAGATTGGAGTTCGGTTTCCCCGCATGCATCTTGATTTTGATGTGCAAGATGCTAATTTAATAGTATTATTTATGCAAAATTTCTTTGCGAAGTGATGTAATTCATTGGTTTTTTTCTTTTGAAATCTATTGGTTGAATGGAATTTTTTCTCAACCATGATGCACATGTGATGAATATTGATCAAAGCTGAAATACAAATGTTCAAAGCAATCAAAGAAAAGGCACAAATTTCAGAAAGAACTTCTAAAAAGAGAAAAAAGAGAAACTTCTATCACAGTCATTAGATTCACACTTTTGGTTGACATCCGTCGAAAATGTTATTGAAACGACATTTGAAACTATTTAGTTGTAAAACTTGATTAACATAGATGTGAGCGATTTGCAGAACGCTCGAAATATCGTAAAGTTTACGTGCTACAAAGATGATGTCTTGCAGTTTTGTATTCTTTGAGGAGTTGAGAAAAGTTCAGCACATAATTGTACCGAGGATTTCATGCTGGGTGAATTCTGTTCAATCGAATTGTGTTTGAGATAAAATTTGCGAG